TATTTTCTTGTGGTAGCCCACAGGCCAGGCCCCAAAGAAACATACATGAAGAGAGCAAGGAGAGGCTACTTGATGCATGATGATCCAAGATGCTAAAGATCAATTCAGAGGTTCTTGAATATTTTTCACTACAAGGACAAGATTTTGGCAGAGATGCAGTGGGCAATTCCCCTTGTTTTGCTGGATCACATCTTCATGACATCTAAACTAACAAGTGCACTAGAGAAGAACGCACCCCCTTGGCTGTCTCCAGTGAGCCAAGAGTCCGGTCCTTTGCACTCCGCTTCCAGTCCATCTTCTACTCCCACCTCACAACAACAGTCCCCACGAGACCCGTGACTTATAATTGGTCAGTGTAGTCAGCTTATATCTGAGAACTTAGTTTTATATGAAAACAATTTGACTATGGACTGGTGTTTCCCTGGCATCATATCACTCATTTGTGGCCTCTAGGTTTTCCTTGTGTTACTTGCTTCAAGAATAAAGTTAAAACTTGACTTCAATGTGCCTTTTTGGATGAAGGGAAGGGGCTAGGACACAGAGAGAAAAATGTGTCAAGCTTGCATACAGCAAGGCCAAGTTGGCTTTGAAGTTTAGCTTGAGGCTTCATTCACAAATCTGAGATCATGCCTTGCCCAACTATGCTCAGCAAATCTTTCTTTCTTATGCTGAAACAGAGCAGCCCCAAAGTCACTGATGCCGACTTCAGTCCCACATTCTCAATCCGCTCCTTTTGAAAAGCAGCAGTTTTGAAACAGCTTATCCTTTGCATGGGTCTTTCTAGCTACTGCATGATGAAGCTGCTCTACATGCAGTCAGGTATATATCAGTAGTGATGTACTTGCACTTGCTATCCTACAAACATGTACAGTAGTTTACAGTACACCACAGGTCAATAAGCAGCTCAGGAACTGGTTGAGGTCCATAACAGTTGCCCACCACAACTGGTTTTTTTTCCAATTTTCACATCCTTACCTCCAGGATGTCACTTCTGCCCCATCAGGGTACCTTACTGGCACTGGCTATTTGCGATAAAGGCACCACCCCTTTCACTTTTTCTTCCAAGCATTACTGATGTTGCAGGTTTAGGCAACTCCTCATCAAGCACTCTCAGATGTGTTTTGGTCATTGCTCTACACTGCATCGTGCCTGGCACCTTGTCCTGCTGAGGCACTGTGGGGATAGCTACTTAGAATGAATCAATTTAAGCTCATTTTGGTATCACAGAAGTTGGTGACAAAGGTTGTTGTATGCAGCCACCTGGATGACACTGGTTGTATCCAAGTCAGACAGGCACCACAACCGGGTTACCAAAACACACCTATGCTTGTAGCCTGACCAGAACATTCATCCACAGGACTTTTCCACCCAGACCTGCTACTTCACTCCCTCCGCCAATCAGTCACTACTCCTCCCCATCTTCCAGAGAAACCACAGATGCAACCACTCTTCAATATATTACCTTTAGTCAGTCTCCCATTGTTATTATAATCCCACTGTGCCTCTTGTTGAAATTTCTCTTTCCCTTTTACTATGCTGTCACAGCCCTTTTATACCTGCCTTGGGCCTTCACCTCCTCATTAATAGATCATCCTAGTCTCCACAGAGCTACTTGCTAAAGCTGCCTGTCTACAATCACTGCTTGGGCACATCACATGGTCATCCCCTGATCTGCTTATAACCATTAAAGTTGTAGAGCTGATGTCACCCTGACAGCTGGGTTAGAGCCCTGGATAATCTGGGTTTTAATTAGCTTATGGGGGTAATAAGGGCTAGACTACACCGTAGTTTTTAACCATGCTGCAACCAGGTCCAGCTTGGTTAAAAGTTGTAGTACACATTTAGCCTTAAAACACCATCTCCTTTGTAACACGCCAACCACCAGCTCACCTGCAGTTGCTGTATTTTCTCTAATCCCTCTGGAATGAACTGTTCTTTTCTTAATTTGCTACCACACCTATAGCCACTGGTGGGAATGGATTGGGTAACTCTCAGCTCCCTTTGCCCCAGTACAAACAACTTGATTCTCCACTACCGCAAGTAAATCCTTAACCTTTAGAAGCAATAGGTATGCAGGCAGGCTGGGACAACTAGCACAGCCTGTAGATAGTCAGGTTACTTGGTACTGTGCTCAGATCAGTACTGCAGGATGTGTTAGGATTTGTCAAAAGGGCCTATGGGAATTACACCCACACATCCATTGAAATTCAGTGAGAACTGGGAGGACTTTGAAAATCAGAACCTCCTCTTGTGACTTCAGAGGGGCGTTCATGTTTCCAGGTGCTAAAGCAAAGGCATGCTGTATTAAAAAGCCCACCCTGAACCAGTCAGGACTACCCAACCAGATCAATTGCATTGAACAACTCCCTGTCATCTAGTTCCAAAACTAAAGGAGGGAAAGTTTGACAAATGATGTACGGGAAAAAACATATGAGTTAGAAAAATCTAATTGAAAGCTTCCTCAGGACTGCTTAGTCCAAAGGTTTTGAATTTACCAGCAGAAAGCCATACCCCCAAAGCTGTCCTAGACCAACTCTGCCACCTAGTGGTTGTACTGAAAACAGTGCTCACTTTGGGGCTCCACTCAAACACAAGGGTAGTTTCCTATTCTTTTTATCCAGCATGTTTAAAAGAAGCCTAAATTGCTAATGTTCAAAGTCACTCAATCTCTTCAAGCCATTAAACTTATTCAACCCACAATCTCTTCCTTGTAAAAGGTTCAGATGTAGCACAAGAGTTCTTCCCATATTAAGAGCTGTAGAGATAACATTTTGGCTGTGCCTCTATACCTTGTAATCCATTGCGAGGGAGAGTCAGAATGGGCAATAAGTTATTACAGTGCTTGTCCCTGGCACCAGTTTATTTGCAAGTTGCACCTTGTTAGCCTCTGACTCCACTGTAGAGTTGGAGGTCTGTTGTGGGTGATCACCAACCTGGCCTATTCAGGGGAGCAAATTTAGGGGTGGTCAGGGATTAAAGCACTTGTCCTGAAGATGAGCCATCAAAACTGGCAACATTTGAAAAGGTTCAAGCATCAAGGAAGTGGTTTAGTGATGCAAAACTGACCCAAGTGCTTCTTCAGGCCAGTCCTACCTAGACTGTATCAAAGTTAGTGCTTAATCCTTTCTTCTAGAATTTATCCACCCCCTTTTGACCCTCAGCCAACCAGATGACACAGGCACAGAACACCACTTTCACAATTCTGTAGATCAGGGCTGTTGATAAGCAGGTGAGGGCTCCATGCAAGCCACACCAATGCAGGCCATAAGCACCCCCTTGCCAGATTACACAATGCTGCCCCAAGCTCCTCCAGATTGCCAGAAAAGGGTGGGAGAGGCCAGAGACCCTGGATGCTGCTGAAGTTGCTCCAACTGAAGCAATGAGGGGAGCAGTGATGGGGTAGCACTGGGAACCCAGGGGCTGCAAATTAACCCCTTGTTGGTTACATGTTGGACAGCCCTGTACTAGACCATCTCTTATTTGTACTACTGTTGTGCCTAGCAGGTCTAAATCAGGGCTGAACTCACACATCACAGAAAACCTGTCAATGGTGTGGAGACAGGAAACACTGTCATACTTGTACAGTTTAAGGTAAGCAAATGTTTTCCAATTAACATAATTGGCAAATTCTCAATTTTACCCTGAATTAAAATGACAACACAAGGGCCTCTTGTCTAGCCCAAGCTATGGACACTAGGTAAAGTAAGCAGAATGTCCTTATGCCAATGCCTGTATCAACTGCATTCTATCTTTGATGCTTGCCAAGCATGTAAAGACATGCAGGGTCACTGTCACTTATTTGATGGTTGTTACTATTATGACATGGCCTCAGATTTCTCCTGTAGCCTCAGCTTCTTGCTGGGCAATATCCAGGTTCTGAAATTTCCCAACTTTGTGGTCTCAGAAATAATGAACTCTGGAGAACACTGCATTTCACACCAGAGACTATGCATTCTGGCAATAACAAGTTTTCACATCATGGAGTCCCTATGGAGCGTAGTTGGGCTATAAGCAAAACAAAGACCGTTTGTTCAGTTTGAGACTACATGCTTTGCCTTAGAGACTGGTATTTAACATGCCCACATTAGACAGCAGACACCAACCCCTGAAACAGCTGTTTTACTTGTATTACAAGTCTTTCATGATGTAGACTGAACAGTGTTTCTTGTTCAGAACCTATATAGAAAGGCCACCTGCGTTTTCAATGTGACAACTTGGCTGAAGCATTCAAAACACCGTCTGCATTACTTTAAAGACAACTTATTACTCAAGGTGATGTCTTTAACCATTCAAACCCACACAGTTCTCAATTTCAACGTAGTAGCTGCCTTTTCATGAAATGTTCCCCTCCTGGGTGCTGTCTCCCCAGCCATTCACATACCAAGGGTGCATGTAAGCCCACTGTAAATCAAACAAAACTACCACCAGACAGAATTTATAGATAAGCTACTTAAAGACTAGTCACTGAAATACCCCAGCGATACATTTTTACTTACAGCTAAGATGCAATGTTGAGTTTACTTGAAGCGATTGGTCAGTTTTATCCTCTGAATGCAACAAGCCAAACTTTTACAGTTTTTGACTAAAGATGTCTGGGCTTTCTTTCCAAACTTCTTTTAGTGCAGGTTCAAGCCATCTTGCAGTACATTTCAATCCACCCACCTCCATACATTATAACTCAGTATCAAATGGACTGCAAGCCAGTTAGTGTAGACATCATCTTGGTGAAAGCCCCCAACTCTTCTACAGACACTGCAAGACTCCTGATTCCAGGTGGGGATGTTCTGAATAGAGTCTGAGAAGTGTTACATTTATAAACATTTGGAATTTTATTTTAAAAAAAACATCACAACCATTAACATTGTTACAGTTAGTTCTCCTCCTCCCTCCTGGGTTTTCCACACAATGATACCGAGCATGCTCACAACAATGGTTTCTCATTGGTTTAGTTTTAGTTAAACAACCATTTTTAAAAGGAAAAAAAAAAAAACTCAGCACACTACCATTTAACCTTGTTTTAATGTTTCTCCACAAATGGTGAAAAATACTAAAGTACAGACAAGGAATAATCATAATGTTGTGACCAACATTATAAATATGGAATTATAAATTTAAAACATTTTCTGGTTTAAAAAATAAATCTGGTAGTAAATGCAGCTCTGCAGGGTTTTTGCCTCTAGTAGGGCCGGTCTCTGCGCTCCTGACGATGCTCACCCCTGCAAAGGAAAAGGCTAGATCAGTTTTAGCTTCTGGGACAAACACTCCCACATTCCTGACTGATGTTCTCTTTACATTAAAGGAGAAGGGCATGCTTCTAGCATAAGAGAACAAGAACCACCTGGTACTGCTGACCCCTTGTCCTCCCACACTCACCAAGTCTCCAATCGAGAGGAATTGACTTTAAGTTCCATTCCTCCCTAGTCTTTCATCAAATCAGATCCTGGTTTATTCTTCCTTTCACTCAGTAGAGGTTTGATTTCAGATCTAACCATCCTACTGTCAGGTCCATTTAAGAGACTCCAGTTTATTCCATACTTACTTGTCCATTTTTCCTGGTCCTCCACGCCTGCCGCCTCTGCCGCCACCTCCCATTTGCTCCATGAGAGGTCCAGGTGGGCCTCCAGGTCCTCCTCGCCGGCCACCTCCTCCACCACCGCCTCCAAATCCACCTCGATCCATACCCCGGCCACCTCTAAAACCGCCTCTATCTCCACCACGTCCACCTCTGAACATTCCTCCAGGACCACCACGATCCATGAGGCCTCCTCTTCCTCCTCTCATACCACCAGGGCCACCTCTGCCACGATCTCCACCTGGCAGAGAAAAAAAAAAAGTCACCACACTAGTTTGAAAACAGCCTTATAGACTGAGCACTTCCCTTCTCTGGATAGAAAACCCAAACCTTTCAACAGAAAGCTTGTTCCTGGACTTTAAAGAGACCTAACAGCCTTCCAGATGAACTCAAGTAGACAGGTGGTAAAATATGCATGCATTGAACTTTAGGAACATGCGCAGCACAGGGTCTGGTGGCTGTTGGGGAACCACAAAAAGGCTGGCATAAATTATGGGTAAAAAGGTCCAGTTTCTCCACACTGCCAGCCTCTGACAAAGACATCAATGCTTTGGCTCAGGCCAAATGAACAAAGTATAAAAGGATTAAGCCACTCCGAAACATGAAGGTAACCCCAGGGGTCTAATGCTAGACTGGAGGCACTACAGGTATTCTTGAACACCCACTAAAAATGTTATGCTACTTTTTCAAGATCCATTAAGGAGTTCAGAGATACAGACAGCAAGGTGAAGAGAAATTACTCCATCTGGGAGCAACACAAGTTGATGATGATGCTTTGGAGAAGTGGACTGCTGCAGGCAGGCACAAAAGGAAGGAGTTTAAAAGAAAAGAGAAGATGATCTAAGGGAGAGCAGTGAGTGGCAGGCTGCCTCTGCAGTTCAAAATGGGCTTTGATTTATACCCAGTAATTATCTAGGACTAAAAACAGACACTCCTTGAGAGCAGCACATAAGCCACATTAGTCACAAAGCAAAGGCAGAAGCACACCATCTTGACAACTGCCTCCCAGAGTCAGCAGATCATCAGCAACAACTGGGGCATATACATACCTGGAGGTGGAAAGGGTGGTGGAAGAAAGCCTTCTGGTTTAGGAGCCTTGCACTGATTACACTCTGTTCTCCAAGCAAAGTTCTGGTTTCCACATCCCCTAGATAGAGCCATCAGTTAGTAAAACTTAAAAACAGATTCTTAACATGCAGACATTATATGGCACTGATCAAGTCAATCAGCCTGCATTTCTCCATCTTGCAGGTCTTGAGGACTACTTCATATACGCATCAGTTCTGCATAATAGGCATCTCTTTCCATTCTCAGATGTGTTGCCATTCTTGTCTACTGGCAACGTACATTACCCTAAATGACTTGACTAAGAATATTCTGGGACATTCCAAGTAAGTTCTTGGGGCAAAGGCCTGTCTTTTTGCTGTTTTGTACAGAACAATGGGGTTCCAATTCAGGATAGGTACATTTGTTTCTGGTTATGACAGCACAACAAGGTTAGGCTATTCTGCAGGCACTGAAGGCAACACCAAGCAGCATGCCAGGTAACTTGGAAGCGAGGGAGTGACGTCAGGTTCAACATGCAAGAATAGAGGAGAAAAAGATGACACAGATCAGATGCACAAGGGAGTTCAGATATACTTACGGATTGGGGCACTGCCAGTCTCCAGCTCGATGCTGGACATTCCCACCAGAGCTGTTTCCTCTAGAACCCCGTGGTCCCCTTGAGGAAAAGCCACCTCTGTCTCCGCCTCTGCCTCCCATACGGCCCATGGGACCACTAGGACCACCAGGACCTGATAGAAAGAATTAATTAATTCTAACACATGCTGATGATCTCTGCAGCCCGGAATGTAGACCAGAGTAGGCTACACCCTCGGAGCAGCATGCTAGGGGGTCAAGGGCTTTGCAGCTCATCCAGATCCAGTACATTACCTCCACGGAGCGGGGGAGGCATTCCACGTTGTTCACGTTGGGGCATCCCACCTCTCATACTATTCATTGGTGGCTTCTTCCTTGTGAGAGTAACTTTGAGTTTGTTCCCCTGGAAATCTTTTCCTAAGGAAAAAAATACAGGAAGGAGGGGTTCATTTTTGTGTTTGCACACTTCCACTATTAGAAAAGGAAACTAAGCTTGAGTAAATTGGCACATCATTCTGTGGAGAAGTAGGGTCAATGATCACAGGGAAAGGTTTCCTTATACCAAGAGGTCTTTGGGTGGAAAGAGTCCCCACTTGACCTGAAAAACCAAGATTAAAACTCTAGAGAAGAGAGTATCAGACATTAGAAGAGGGAGCCCATGCTAGCTGGGAAATAAGAGCACTGACCAGTCTCTTTTATGTGATATGAAAATCTCCCAGATAAAATCTTGGAAGTCGAACCAGATCTTGCTTTTAATACCTTGTTATCACCTTCCCTCTGCTTAGCGCAAACACCCATTTTCCTAGTCCAAGTTGGCAGAGAGTTTAGCTATAAAATCCTAAACAAAAACTACTCTCATCTGTTTTTTTCCTATCACTTACCATCAAACCACTCTATAGCTGCTTTAGCAGTTGAAGGGTCATCATAGGACACAGTGGCATCTCCTTTTGGTTTTCCAGTTTCTTTATCAATATAAAGATTTATCATTGGCTGCCCAGTCCTCTTGTTCATCTAGTAGAAAATCAGAATCTCACTTTAATTTGAAGTTAGATACTAAGCTGAATGGCAAGGTCTTTCCTGCATTTCCCCTGTTCAATTTAAGTCAGCAAAGCTCACCTAGCAAATCTTGTTCTTGTGACCCAACCCCCAAGACTGAAGAAAGGAGAGCTGACACCCAGAGGGATCCTTTAGAGCACAAAAACATCTGAACTATTACAATTTGAATACATTTAAGAACCATGTTTAGAATAGAATCTGGTTACCAACTTATGTACCTGATAATGCCAGATGCAATTGGACAAAACTGAATTACGATGAATCCACAACCTCCCTTTTTGTACTCCTTCCATTATTCCTAGTTCTGCTAATATTCCAATGTTTCAGAAAAGAATACCAACATGGAAACAATTCCATTCTAAGTGGATTCCAATACTGCAGCATTTAGAACAGCAATATAAAACTGAATGACAAGTCATAAAAGGCTCTTCAGAAGACCTGCAGCTTATTTCAGGGATTCTCAATCTGGGTGGTTAAAACAATCCTCTCTCTTTTCCAGTGTTAAATGGGAAGAGGTTTCCAGATAAATGGGATGGGTAAATGATAAATACATCTGGATTAGTTTCCAGACAAATGGGATGGATGCATAAGAGGCATACTCTGGTATGCAAAAGGTTGAGAGTTCAGCCCCGTGAATAAGTGTGGAACATGATTTACTGCTCATTCCACACCTGTCCTTGACATACATGCTGTCACTCACCTTGACAACACCACATTGTTTGAAGAAGTCTGCCAGCTCTTCCAGGGTCACATTGTCATTCAGTCCCTGTACATACACTGAACTGTTGTCCGAGTCTTCATCAGGGTCTACAGACGGGCCTAAGGAAATCAAATTAACCCAGGTGTCAAAATACAAGGCAGCAGGAGTGCTTATAAAGTTTGTTTGTTCAGCTTTATTTCCCATTCACCTCCAACCCAAGAGAGGATTTTTGGTCTGGTTTCCTGTCATGATAGGGTAAATACAGTCTAAACCACATCTGTCAATCAAAACAATTGCCCAATATGGAAGGTGCTCATTCCTTCTAGCTCATGTTTCCTTCCAGAAACTGGTGAGGTCCTGCCCATTTCAAGTGTGCTACCAGCAGCAAAGCCCTGTAAGTAATGGTGTGGTAACACCTTAATGAGGTGAAAACCTCACAAGCTGAGAACAAACAGTAGGTAATAATGGAACAAACAAACATCAGAGATGAAAAGCAGGAGCGTTTGTTGTTCCCAAGTGAATTAGCAGGTATATTTAAACTCATTTAAACCCTCTCAGTAATGAAATCAATTGGATTTAGCAAAAGGTAGTTCCATTCACATTACTTAAACAGGCGTCTACATTCTCCATGGATATCTTAAATGGGTTGCATTATAACACTGATGTGTCAGGTGAACCACAGCTAAAACAGGATGGTTAATGACCATATTGGTATGATGTGAGAAATTGTTGGTAGTTACTGAAGAAAAAACATCTGTGTTAAAGCCAGATACCATCTGCAAGTGCATATCAGGATTTTACATCCTTTGTGTAACTGCGTACCACCATTTAGCCTAGACACCTATTTCCTTGCTGCAGTAGGTCCTTTATAACCAGTTAAAACTATAAGGTGACTCTGAGACACAGCAACTGTAAAAATGTGCCTTTGTATACACGTGATATGAAAGAAGAGATTACAAATTCACAAGCTATGGGGCAGAAGAGCACAGAAAGGAAGAGAAGTTTTTTAAAAAGAAAAGAAGTGATCACTACACCAGCAGATACTAGATATGTTTTTATATTGCTTAAAGTCAATCCCTGGCTATTCAGATATAGCAGATATTAACTGCTCAAAAACAGAACCTCATTTCCTGAACAAAGGAATAAGGATCTAATGAATGCTTACAAATTTAAGTCAGCTAGCTGGCTGTTTGATTAATCAAAAAGGCAACAGCAAATGAAATTTTCATAAAGACACTGAATTACAGAGGATGAGTATTCTTGGGCATTTAATACAGATGGATAAGAAATAAGGTGGAGAATTTTTTTGTGGACAAGTTATCTGAAGGATGGCTACATGGGGATGAGGTTAAGTGGGAAGGCACTCTGAACAGTTATGCAAAAGTTACCTAAATCAAGATCTGGTCCTTCTTCCATGGGTCCTGTCAGTCGGGAAAAAAAATGAGATAAAATGTTGTTAGTGCAAGTCTTGCAGCCTGAAAAACTGACACACACAAAACTATCTACTTACAACCACCATTTGATGGTGTTTGTTAAACTCGAATTGACCTGCATTGCAAAAATGTTAGCAATGCACCTTTAAACTCTGTGATCAGTTTGCTATGATTTTAGCAGCCTTTTAAACCATTAACCACTATTACGCTTTTTTAACACTTTATTGGGCCAATCAGTGTTAAGTTTATAAAAAAATTACTTTTTTTATTAAATCCAAACAAATCTATTCTCCCCAAATTACAGAAGTAGTTTCTCAATACTTCGTTACCCTTTGTTCTGTAACCATAGGTTAAACCTTATACCCCTAGGCATTGCCGGCAGTACCCATTAAAGTCTTGTTGCACATGTCATTTTTAACCACTTATGAAACTAATAAAAATTATAGTTTTTCTAAAAACTGACTGAAATTTTTTTTTTTTTTTTT